TTTTTATACTTTTCTGCTGGATGGTTAAGACCAAGATAAAGCAAGACCTATGCAACAAGAGTTGTAGCTTTTGGGTCTGATAAGGTCAGTGAAATTTGAGCGCACTTTGTAGCCCAGGCTGGTCTCAAATTCCCAGCGATCCTCCTGTCTCAGCCTCCAGAACCTGGGCATTACAGGGATGCACCACCACACCTGGCTTTGATTTCTGATACTTGACGGAGTGACTTGGAAAGCAGAGTCACAGGGAGGGAGATAGGGTGCACCCCAGGAAGCTCCGCAGGGGCCGCGCCCATGCTGTGGTGGGCAGTCAGCCCTCAAGGATGGTGTCCAGCACAGTGGCTGCACCCCCAGGGCAGCCTCCAGGAATGGGCCCTGTGGGTCAGCCAAGGCCAGGGGGCCCAGAGAGCTGGACCTTAAATCCCAGCACTGATGTAGGCTGTACTTGAAAAGGTGTGAGCAGGAGTGTCCTGGGGAGGTGGGGCGGGGACAAGACCTGCAGAGGCGCTGTGCTGTGGGCATTGCTGAGCTACACCTGGGGAGCAGGCTGCAGCGGGGGCCAATGGCCACCGTGCCGGGGTCACAGCCATGCATGCCCTGGGCAAAGCCTCAGCAGCGGTGGAGGGGTCTTCCCTTGTGGAGGTGTCCTCAAGGCCAAGATGGTGGACACGCCATCACCCCCGGTGTCCTCTGCCCCTGCAACCTCTTGTGTCCTCCTGCCTACCCCCCCACTGCACTTCCGAGGTCACTGAAACTGTGTGTGTGCGTGTGTGTGTGTGTGTGTGTGTGTGTGTGTGTGTGTGACAGTGACACGAGTGCCTGGCTCCAGACATAAGCGCTTCGTGTCGCTTCTGTCCTCGTGTGGTCTCTGCTAGGTACAGTGACTCCGGGTTTCTTCTGTGTCATCTGTCGCACGCTGCATGGTTCCTCCCCCTTTTCACTGCTGAGCAACATCCTGGCTAGGGCGCTGCTCCTCTCTCAGCTGCCCAGGGAGGACGTCTTGTGTGGGCTCAGAGAGCGGCCCCAGTCACCAGCAGGACACGGCAGCCTCTGGATGTCCACCCAGGCCCCTGCATGGCTGCCCCCGTGCCCCGCCCTGCAGCTGCATGATGCTGTGTGGTGTCTTGCACTGAGCCTGGTAGGATGTCATCGTCACTGCTGATTCCACTGTCAACCTGGCCCTTGGGGATGCCTGCTTGGCCCGCTTCCCCACACAGTTATGGCCATGTCCTTTGTGAGAAGGGGCACTGCAGGACGGGTGGGCACATCCTGCCCACGTCTCCCGTGTTTCCCCAGGCCGGGTGCTGGTGCACTGCCGAGAGGGGTACAGCCGCTCCCCAACCCTGGTGGTCGCCTACCTCATGCTGCGGCAGAATCTGGATGTGAAGGCGGCCCTGAGTGCTGTGCGGCAGCACCGCGAGATCGGCCCCAACGACGGCTTCCTGGCCCAGCTCTGTCAGCTCGACGACAGGCTCCGGCGGGAGGGGCGGCTGAAGCTCTAGCCCCTGCGCCCAGCTCCACCCCTCCCTGCCCGCCTCCCCTGTCCCCTACAAGGAAGTCAGTGTCCCCTGCCCATGTCACAGGGCACCTGTCCATGTGTGTCCCAGCACAGCCCGGGCCTTGTACACTGGGGACACACAGAAGCTTTGCCGAGGGTCCTGCTCCCAGTCATCTCTCAGGCAGAGGCATCTGTTCCCCGCTGCTTGGTGGTAGGAAGAGGGGCACCCCCCAGGACCTCAGTGCCCAAGCCCAGTAAAGGAGGCTGGTGCGCGTGCTGCCCCGCCACACCTAGCCTGTGCGTGCCTGCCGTCACCCTGGTGGAAGTCTTCTGGTTAGTTCCCCAGGCTGTGGACACTGGCCCAGGAGGCTGGGCACTGTGTGCGCGGTGAGCGCTGGCCCTGCCCTCTTGGCCCTGCACCTGGTACTGGCCACACCTTGGCTTTCGCTTCCTATTTAGAAAGGAGGGTGTTGAGCTCTGGCCTGTTGGCGGGACCGGTGTTGGGGCTTCAAGGCGGCTTCATGCTGAGTCTGCGGGGCCGCAGCCCCCTGTGCCATCTGCTCTGGTCCTGCTGCTGCTCTGAGAGCGGGGGAGGAGCTGGCCCAGCTCAGCTGGTGTGGGGCAGGCGTGGGTGTGGCTTCTGCTTCCGGGAGTCGTGTGATTCTGTGCGTCAGAGTCCTCGCTGTGTCCCATCCCAGCGTGTGGGTGTCTCGTGGGAGACGGCTGAGCTGGGTGTACACGGGCGATGCCCCACGAGTGCCCAGCTCCCGGAGGTCTGGGTCCTGCAGGAGCCCCCAGCGCTTGGCAGAGAACATCAGACTCTGCAGTGGCTTAGAGCTCAGTTTGCATCTGTGCCCAAGCGAGGCGGCACCCGCGTGGGAGGAGCGGGCTTGCGGCCCCTGTGGTGAGGCCCTGCGCCCCGCGGCAGCAGCTGCTGCTTTCCAGGTCACCGCTGAGGCCAGCAGCCGCCTGCGGGACGCTGCACCTGCCCCACAGGTTGCACGTGATCCCCTGTCCGTGGTGGGGTTCAGGGTGAGAAGGCTGGGGGCCCACACTGCCAGCTTGCTGCTCTCAGAGCGGCTTCTAGGCTGCTCCTCCCTGGAGCGGGGTTGGATCAGTGTGAGAACGGAGTGCAAAGTGAGGTCCTCGAGCGGCGCCCCAGGCCAGGCTTTCTGCCTTACTCCCCTCTGCTGGGAACTCCTTGGCGCCTCAACAGCGGGAGGAGGCTGGGGGAGAATTCTGTCTCCTCTGGGCTCCTCTGCTGGGGACTTCGGGTGGCTCTGTTGTCCCCAGAAATCCATGTTCCCTCCTGAGATTTAACTCTGAACGAGACACCGTGTGTTGCGTGGTGTGAGAACTATTGCCCAGTGAGACTGACAGGAGCTGTCCCCTGGCGGCTGTCTGCCCCTGGGAGGGGCAGCGCGGGACCTCGGGGCGCCAGCCCCTGCCTGCACACCCGCCCCTCCTGTGGCTGGCAGAGCTGTGTCCCAGGGGGTTTCTTTGCATGCTGAGCAGCGTCCTTCCTGGCCATTTCCCCCACTCCGAGATGTGGACACCACGGGGCCAGCAGGTGGCGCTGCGTCCCCTCAGTGGCTGAGACCAGGAGGGCTGGTGGAGCAGGTGCCGGGCCAGACAGAAGCTCTGCTCAGAGACCTTGGCCTACACCGTGGCAGGGGTCCTGGAAGAGCCAGCACAGTGCCGTCCTGCAGCGGGCACCGCAGGGCCCCGGCCGGGGCTGGCAGCTTCGCTTGGATCCCTGCTTCACTCCTGCTGGTTCGCAGGGTGATGTGCTGTGAGAGTGATTTTGAGGACAGAGGAGGGAGGCAGCCAGCTGCTCAGAAGCAGCAAGGTGGCTGGGCCTGGGTGGCGGCCCTGCGGAGAGCGCTGCGTGGCACATGGGAGGCCCCAGGCCCATCTCCACTGCCACCAAAAAAAGAAAAAAAACAAGCAAGTTGAATGTCTGCTGTGTCACCAGTCTGTGTTAAAACACTAAAATCACAACCAAAATAAATGTCTTACCCGACAAGGACACGGCTGTCTGTCTGTCTTACTACCATTTCCTTTCACAGTGTAATGCTTGGCCTCTGGGTTTGCCTTTTATTTGTTTTTTGACACAGGCTGGGCTTGGACTCACCGGGTAGCCCAGTGTCTTAGTTACCTTGCTCACTGCTGGGATACAATACCCGACACCCAAAGTTAAGGAAGGAAAGGCTTAGTTAGCCCAGTTTGTGGAGGTTTCAGTCTGGAGTTGGCTGGTCCTGAGGCGGAGGCACGTGGCGGAGGGCAGCGTTCGTGGCAGTGAGAAGCACCGACAGCAGCAGGAGAGGAGCGAGAGCACGCCTCCTTCCCGGATACCGCGCGCTTATGTGCTCTAGGGCGGGTGCAGCACTCCCGGCCCCAGCGCAGCGGACAGCGAGCCCGCCACGAACTCTAGACTCGGCTGCCTCCAAAAAAGCCTGTCCTCCATGAGCATGCGGCTTGAGGGGGCGTCCAGACACAAGCCGTAGCACCCAGGCTGGCCCTCACCTCGGCCTCCCAGGTGCTGGGGTGGCAGGCCTGTGCCCTCATGCCTGGCTCTGGCTTTTCCTAACCTTTAAACACAATCACCATCACCACCCAAGAACGAGTATGTCAGCGATTCCACGGTGGCTCTGTTTCCACAGTGGTGGCCTGTGTCGGGAAGAGCAGCTGCCCCCCAGATGCACAGGTTGGTGCTCGGAGGAGGCAGGGGCGGGGCTTTGTGTGGCCTGCAGCCCGGGCCAGCCGTGCTCCCTGGTGCTGCAGCCCTGCTGTTGGCACAAGGTCCCTTTTGCCCACAGGTCAGAACACTCAGAGGTGTCCAATGCTTTCTAGACAGTCCTTGGGAAGAGAGCAAGCCTGCCCCTGGGTATCACCAGCAGCTGTCCTAGAGGGCCTGAGGGCGGCTCCCCACTGCCAGCCCTCCAGCAGCACAGCCAGCCTTTGTAGCTACACAAAATCTGTTGTCTTAGATTTCACTTTTTATTTTTGTCTTTTTTAAAAAAAATTTTTATTTTAGGGAAGGGTCTATGGGGTGTTCAGGGTCTCACTACTAGATCAGACTCCTAGTGATTCTCCTGTTTACAGCCTCCCAAGAGCTGGAGCTGGATTACAGGCCCACGCCACTACACCCAGTCTCAATTGCTGTCTCAGTGAGCCCTGGGGGAGGGGCTGGCACGGCAGGCCTGGGGATTGAACCCCCAGCCTCTGGGCCTGCTTGCAGGCACTTTAATCCGCTGAGCTATTTGGCTGGTCCTATTTTTGTCTTTTTGAGACAGGGCCTCACCATGCAGTTCAGGCTGGCCTTGAGCTCACTTTGTAGCCCAGGCAGGTCTCAAATTTGCAGTGATCCTCAGTCCTGAGTGCTGGGATTATGGGTGTGCACCACCACTCCCAGCTTTCGGTTTTCATTGGTCTGTCCAGGTTCACAGCCCGCAGTGGGCATCCTGCTGCAGGGAGTGGGTGCCCGTAGGGGACACATCTTATTTTCCTTTCTCTCCCTTCATCTCTTGACTGCCTTCCTACTTGCTAAAAAGTGCATCTTCCTGTGGCCTGCTGTCGTCTTTCCTGTCGCTCTTTGTCCTCCGGGCTCCGCATCTGCAAAGCCGCACTGCTCCCATGGTGCGGCGGCCCGGTCCTTGCAGCGCAGAGGCCTCGGGTGCCTCTTCTTGCGAGAGCAGCTCTGCCCCGGGCTCCTGTAACAGCGTGGGGCTCCATTGCTGTGCGCGTAATCTTAGGGCAGAAAGCTGATGTGTGAAAGCGACAGGCGTTTCTTCGCTATGATTTTCTGACATTTACATTTAGAAAGTAAAACTGCATACAGCACAGCCCTAAACTCACTGCAGCGATGTGGGAGCGTGCTCATCCGCCAGCCTTGCGCCCTCTCTGCCCAGAGCCACACGAGGATCACGTCCTGGGCAGACAGCACGCACACAGGCATGCACATGTGTGTGACATGCCCGTAACGCACGTGGACCTGTCCGTCTCCCGGTGAAGAGCAGCCGTGTTGTGCTGCGCTTGCCAACATCTTGTAGTTTGTGTCCCTTGTAGTTCTTATGTGTTCATTTTTGCGGCCTCCTGGCACCCGCAGATTTCTGTTCCTCTCCCTTTAGAGGTCCCAGCAGTGGCTTGGATGTGAGCAGATTTCTAAACAAGATGCAGGGAGGCCGTGGGAGCTCCTCTCTGCCCCACGTGTGGCCCAACGGAGGTGCGTTGCCGAGCCTGCAACCCAGGCGGAGGGGCCAAGCGGCTGTCTCTGAATGGGTGTGGACGTGGCCAGGCCTAACTTAAGGCACTAGCCTCTGGTGTGGCCTGCTGCAGCAGTGGCCATTTGTAAGAAATCTGCCTTCATTACTCTTCTCTCATTGCTAAAAAATACTTGACACCCAAAGATAAAGGAGGTGGGAAGGGTCGTAGCTCAGTGGCACAGCACCTGCCAGGCGGACGCAAGGTCCTGAGTTCAAGTCTCAGTACCCCAGAACCACAAAGTTGAAGGAGGAGAGATTTACGTAGCTCAGCTTTTTTTGTTGGTGGTGCCGGGAATCAAACTCATGGCCTCGTGCTTGTCAGGCGGGTGCTGTGCCACTGAGCTGCGTCCTCGGCCCTGCTTCGCTCTGTTGTGGAGGCTTCAGTCCAGGATCGCCTGGCTGCTGGGCAGGCTGTCAGGTGGAAAGTATCAAAGGGGGGAACATCCAGGCAGGCAGAAGGCAGAGGAGGCGGTAGAGAGGCAGAGCACGGCTGACCCACAGCTACTGGAGGTTTCAGTCCACACTCAGCTGGCTCCGAGGCAGAGAGCGCATGGCAGAGGGCAGCCTTTCAAGGCGGCAGCACGGAGTAAGAGAGCAGAATGGAGGAGTAGCAGCAACAACGGCTGCAGACAGCAAGTCTGTCTCTCTTATGTGATGTTCAGGCTATCCAACCCAGGCTGGTTGTAGCACTCACACCCCTAATCCCAGCAGTACTCACACCCCTAATCCCAGCAGTATTCACACCC